AATACATAATATCTTTTACTCAGTAATTCATTTACACAGGTTTCTTTTGCCCAGACTCTTCAATTTGATCTCAGAAGTTCTTGCAATAAATAGCGCAGGCATAACTAATTATAATTTGAAAACATTTTTTTTTATTTCAACAATTAACAAATCCGAGCCGCCTTATTTTTCTGTAACATTTGTTTAACTCCTGGGCCATTCCATGTCAGATCGACCCCTTTCTGTCAAAGTTCTGTCAAAAGAAAAAAAAAATATTTTCAAAAAATATGCAAATTGAAAATTTTGTGATTTTTACAGTTTTTGAATTTCATTTTTGTAATATCTCGAACGCTATATTATAGATACAGGAATGGCCTTTCGTTTGTTTAAAAAGGGACACTTGGTGCTATTGAAAAAAAAAATATTTTGGAAAAAAATTTTGAAAAATGTCAAACAAATTTTGAATTTTTGAAAATCGTCAAAAATGACGATTGACATTAAAATTTTAGCTTAGTTTTTTTTTGTATAATACCTTGTATTGATCCTAAAAAAATTTTTTTTTATTTTTTTTCTTTTGGCAGAATTTTGTTACATGATAAAAGAAAACTTCAGACCAAAATTTGTCCGAATCGAAAAGGGGTTGATTCCAACTATCGATCGATTTGATATGGAATGATCCAGGAGTTGAACAAATGTAACAGAAAAATAAGGCGGCTCGGATTTGTTAATTGTTGAAATAAAAAAAATGTTTTCAAATTATAATTAGTTATGCCTGCGCTATTTATTGCAAGAACTTCTGAGATCAAATTGAAGAGTCTGGGCAAAAAAAATCTGTGTAAATGAATTACTGAGTAAAAGATATTATGTATTATCGGATGCCTGTGTAATAGAAATTCTGTATCATTGGAACTCTAGGTAAAAGATGCTCTGTATCATAGAAATCTGGGCAAACGAATTCTGGGTAAAACAATTGTGTCCAATACTAGGTCTGGGCAATCGGATTATGGGTCATTGATGTCCACCCGACGAATTTATAATTACCGGAAACTCCCAAGGGAAAACATAAAAACTTTTAAGTGCCGTGCAGTTAGTCTAGACATTCTAAAAAAAATTTCCTTGTTAAAATAAACTTACGCTTGTAACTTAAATTGTAATGGTCACTTAGAATAAGATACCGAACGTTTTGGAATATTCTTTACGAAACTAGAGAAAACCCAGAGATCTTTATTTATTCATTTTATTGTCATAATCTTTTAAGAAGCTTATTTTCCAAAACGTTCGCTAAAAAAAAGGGATTACTCGAGTACCTAGGGCTAGGTCATAAAAACCAGACATCCAGGCGGGCTGCAAATGACCTGGGAACATCGAGGGTTGTCGTGACGTCATTTCAACATGGTCCCATTTTGCCAACTCGAGAAGCGAGAAGGGATGCTAGCCGAAGATGAGAGCTGTAGAGGCGCGCGCAACTACCCTCACTACCCTCACTACCCTCTGGGCCTCTCCCACTCCAAAGGTACGAACGTCTCAACCAAGGGAATCGGACAACGGAAAACAAGAATATACTTATCAATAAGCAAGACTTAATTAAGTACGCCACGCGAATATTTTCTTTTTCGGAATTATTGTCGGTACTTTTTATTTTGTAATTTATTGAATAATAAATAATAGATTTGCGCGCAAGGCAAATCTAAATTAAACTAAAATAATCCGAGTATTTTAAATTTATTATATATATTATTTAATTCAACTTATTCGAATTTAAATCTACTCTCCCGCCTTGAATCTATTTACTGCGAGTTGAACGCCCTGCCGCGTTCCAACGGGCGAATTAAAAGAACTCAATAAATTTACTATAGCCAATTTTGGGCTATACAAAACAGTATTTATCCTCTATAATGAAAATATATAAGAGTGAAGTTAGTCAATAGTCAACACTCTTATTCAGTAATTTAAAAAAGACCCGCCGCTTTAGCGGAATAGTAATTTATTAAATTAACTAAAAAAAATTCATGAAAATTAATGTAGCCCATATTTAATAATTAAAAAAATTTTATAACAAATAAATATCGCTGGGCACTTAGAATTGAATAGAATTGTATTTTTAGATCTAGACTTGAAATTTCAACCCGTGTTCGTCAATTTCCGTGAAAATTCTCATGTTTCCAACGATCTCATTAGTTGAAACGTACTTAAATTTTGACAATGAAGTTTTTAATTCAAAATTGTAAACAGATGTACAAATGTGCCTTAGAAAATTGTAAGCCTCAAATTCAAGTTACACTAGAAAGTTATTACCGCAAGATCAGAAGAAAATATGTTAAAAAAAGGAAAAAGTACTAATTTTACCGCTGTAGAAAAAAAAATATTTTCTACAAATTTTAAAAAATTATGCCCAAGTAATTGAAAATAAAAAGAGTGATGCTGCTACATTAAGTGAAAAAAAAACAAGCATGGGATTTCATCGCAACCGACTTTAATTCATCTAGTATTATAAAATTACTGAGAAGGTAAAATTAACTTTTTAATATGACTCTAAAATTAACAGTAGCCACTTGATCAGTTTTTGATTAAATTTTACAAATAAATTAGTTTTAGAAAGTTTTTCTTGAAAAATTGGACTTCTAGTTTTTCAAATTTTTTACATGTGAAATTTTTTCTGCTATATACTAAGATGTAAATTAAAAGTCATTTTTAATATTATTTAAATATTTTTTATTATAATAAAGATGTTTGTGACGAATTTGTTGTTTAGGAAGAGTTTAACCTACTCAGTGAGTGATCATTTGAGGAAAGAAAAAGACCAGCTATCGAGATTTTTGTTTTCTTGTTTTCTTTTTCTAAAAAATTTATTCTGTTAGTGAGCTTTATTATTGTTTCATTAACGACTCTGGGTGTCTTTGCATCTGTTAGTTCTTTGAGTTCATTTTTTTTCACAGTGTTTTTTTCTCTAGTTCTTCAATTCGTTTGCCGAGATCGGCCTTGACTTCCGTATTAGTTCTCCATTTAGATCAGACAGTTTCTTCAGTATATTCTCAAAAGCTTCCTGATCATCTTGTAGTTTCTGGTTCATTTTATCAGTTTCCTTAATCTCAGATGGACACCGAGGATTGAATTTTCTAAAGTCGAAATTCCGTCAATTTAATTAAAAAACTCCCTTTTATAGGGCTGTCACTCGGTGTCCATGGGGTTATTCTTTTAATTATGGGTCTGGGAATCTTCTGTATAGTGTCCTAGAAGATTCCCATGAGTTTCCTTCCTTAATCTCAGGTGGACACCGAGGATTAAATTTTTTTTTCGTCCCTGTATTTTTCTGTGCCTGTCGTTCGTCGCTATTAATATTCATTTTATCAAAAAAATTATAAGGACATTTTTTGTTGGTTTTTTAATTATAAAATTTTTTTATCAAATAAACTTCCCCGTTAAATCAGTCCTTCTTGATTTAAATCGTTTTAAATAATTAAATTGTTATTAACAATTAAACTAACCATCGGCGAGCAAAATAATCTAATTTTTTGTGATTCTCGGCAAAAAATACGTAAATATAATTAATCAGAATCCGGGGACCTAAAAGTGCATACGGGCTTCGCCCTTCAGCCGAGGGACTAATGCGGGCTTTTATTTTTAGCTGAGGGACTTAGAAACTTAAAATAAATTTTTTTTTTATTACAATTTTATTCGCGTTATTATTAAATTTTTTTTAATAAAAAGTTATATTTTTTTATTATTTTATTAATAAATTATTTTTTATTACTGATTATAAATATTTAATTTATTTATTGTATCATTACGATATATATTAATTATTAAATTTTTAAATTGTTTCGCGCCGTATGCATACGGTGGCGCTCATTTTTTACCTTTCTGACCCGAAACACTACTTTTACGCGGAGGGATATTTCGTCATTCTAATACGCATGCGTAACAAAAAAATATAGAAGTGGGGGATAGTCCTATGGTGGGGAAAAAAGTCATTCTTTCACCGGGACGATTATATATAGGTAAATTACTTTAGTTCATTAGTTCATCTTAAACGTTGTTAGTTTTGCTGTCCGCTAGGCGCATCAGTAACACCTGTTTGTAAACGAAAACAATCCAATTCAAGGTTAGATCAATTTAGATGTTACACGTGTAATTGTAAGTGTTGCTCAGAAAAATTTTTTTAAAAACCGTATAACGTGTATATATTACCTGTAACATTTATTAGATTATAATGGAAGGTTTCATCCAAGTTAATCCAAACAATCATCTTGTTAAAATGGTAAGAAATATTTAATAAATTTTATTAGGACTTATGGTATATATAGTAATGCCATAACTCGGACGAATAAAAATTAATTATTCGTTCGATAATTTAAAAATAGATATAAAGAACATTTATTTAATTTTTTAATAAGTATATTTTATTAATCCAAAATATTGAATAACTAGCAATAGCTTTTTTAGTTTAAGTAATCTTGAACAAGCTATATAAAAAGTAAAAATTTTTTAATATTTTTCAGGAGCCTTGCGATTGTTTACACTTCGACTGCGTATCGAAATACGAATATCCAATTAAAAATTTGGAAATTACAATTAGATCTATGTTTCATAACATAAATATGATTAACAAAGAAGTAACAATATTGATCGACAGTATTAATCAAGTGATGAAAGGAGTTACGGATGACGAGTTCATCAAATTACAATTCGATTGGGCGCAAGCGAAATTTGGCTCTGGATGTGCTAGTGCCAACTTATTTTTAAATCTTAAATGTATTGAAAATTGTAATACAGCAAAAACCATTTTAAAGAATAATCAAGAGAATAAAATCTTTCAACGATATTTATTGTGGAAGCAGAAATATGCTAAAGTTATACAAAAGTTTCTTTCGCTGGACGAAGGCATTGTCAAGTCATATAAAGGTCAGGTTATAGTTGAATTTTTTAGATTCGAGAATTACAAGAATGAACGTATTGAAAATGACAAAAAGTATGAGCTTCTCATAAGAGAATGTCTCCTACGAAGAGCTATATCGTCTGGGTTTATGATTTAATATTGTCAAATATTTAAAATTATCAAATATGTAATAAATTTACCACATAATAAACATTTCATTTTTATAATTTGGAAGCTGTCATTTTGTTAGGAAATACTGAGGTGGTAAATAAAAAGCGCGGTGAATTCAAACTTAAATTTATTGTCAGTCTTCTTACACCGATTAGTACTCAATTGAATAAAATATTATATAATAAGTTTGCACTTGGTATAGACTCGTGGCAGTGAATGTCAACCGTCTTAAGATAGTTTCTTTTGGATGCGTGACCCTTCGTTGAGAACCTTCTGGTATATTCAAAGGAAAGGCTTAGAAGGCGCGGGGGTCTCTTAGAGATGCTCTTCTAAGCAAGATGATGCCCAATTTCCTTTGAGAGAACTCTCAACCAGGAGGTATACTTGCACCAGGAGGTATACTAAAGACGGCTACGAGAAGAGCCTATTACTTGAGAGTTTTCTTACTGATATGTAAGGTTAGACACTTTATTTAGGTACTTGACTCTTGATTTTAGATGTTAACTGTTTATTTGCACGATAAAAACTGATGCGGTGGCACTTGGCGCCTGTATTTATACTTAAGCCGGGAGGCCCAGAACGTTCTGGTAAGCATGCGCAGACATCGATTTCTGGAACGATGCCTGCGTCAATAATTTTCTAGAGGAATCGATTACTCGAAAGTTACTAGATAGAGAGCGCTTCGAGTCTTTAGGCGGGAGTTTGAATTAAATTATGCGAGAGATGGCGCCATTACTAAATTTATTAGAAAAAGAGACTAGAGATGGCGCCGCTAACTTGATAAATCTCAAACACATTTTTTTTTCTTTAAATGTGTTGACTCTTAAAATTGGATTAGTTAATTAACGGTATTTTAATACATTTATTTCTTGATAAAACTTTAAAAAGATCCCAATTAAAATTGTAAGTCATCTTAGACACTCATTAATTCTTTTTATTATTAAAAATTTGAAATTTTAAACTTTTTTTTTAATTCATCACATAAATACATATTTATTTTTTCATAATACTATGACAAAATTATTTTGTCATTGAAATATTTACTCAACAAATATATAAATTAATTTGCACTAAGAGTTTTTAAAAATTTTTAAATGTCAACTAACTTAATTTTCATTCAAATCATATGCTTTTAAATTACTAGACATAACATGCTCGCTTTAATTTTTTCAAAAATCCCGCCACTATCCTAGTGACCAATCAACAACCGAAAAATGATATGACATTCGACCATCAACTTTTTAGAAGAGGAAAGAAGGATAATTTACACTTGTAATTTTTTTTTATTTTCACATGTGAAGTTTTTTAATTAATTTTTTTCATAATAATTTAATTGCTATAAAATTATAAAAAAATTTCTAACGTCAGCTAACTTCAGTGTCATTATTTTAGTTTAAAATTTCAAGGTTAATGGAAGCTCTTTCACCTCTCAGTTATATATAGTCACCGGGATTGACTTATTCCAGAAAAATCTAATCAACTAATTACGGTAGTTAATTGGCTCATGTGACAGCTTGGAAACGCCTGGTATTTTATTGTTTCATAATCTTAGACAAATTATTAGATATTATTTTATATTCTATTCACTAGAAGTTATCGAAAATGGCAGCTCGGGCGTTACATTATGTTTTCAAAATACCAGACCGAAAATTAACTGTCAAATTTTACCGAGAAATTCTTGGTATGAAGGTAAGATTTTTTGTAATTATAAATTATTAAATTTACAACGTAGAATAATTTATTTATTTATTTATTTTATAGGTATTAAGACATGAGGAATTTTCTGAAGGTTGTGATGCTGCTTGCAATGGGTAAGTTTATCAATAATTATTTTATAAAAATAAATTAAATCTTAGATCATTTGATAGCATATCAATAATATCAGAAACTGACAGATTTTTTTAATAATAATTTTTTTATATGAAAATTAAGTCAGCCGACATTTAAAAATTTTTTAAATTTTTTTTTATTGAAAAAATGATTACTAAAAAATTAATAAAAAATTTTCACTTGTAAAAAACTTTAAAAACTGTAAGTGCAATTTAAAAAAAAATATTTTTTTTTTTCTAATTTAATTATTAAAAAAAAATTAATAACTTTAGTATTATTTTTTTTATTTATAATCAATAATTTTTTTACTTAGACCTTATGACAGTCGTTGGAGTAAAACGATGATCGGTTATGGCCCAGAAGATTCTCATTTTGTCATCGAGTTAACTTATAACTACGGAATAAATAATTATGAGCTAGGAAATGACTTTCAGGGAATTACTATCAAGTCAAAGGACATAATTGACAGAGCTAGGAAACATAATTGGCCTGTTGAAGAAGAAAATGGAGTTTCTGTTCTTAAAGCTCCTGGTGGTTATAAATATTATATTATTAATGAACCCCAAGTTGCTAATCAAGGTCAGTTTTTTGTTTTTAAATATTTAAATTTGTTTAATCTAGTGATTAATTAATTTAATTAAAATTAGCACCCACTTAATTATTTTTTTAAATTTTATTTAAAAAATAAATTTGCTCTAAATTATTTTTAAAAAATTGCATTTAAATTTTTTTTTAATTTTTACATATCAATTTTTTTTATAATATTGAATTTAATAGACTAACAATTTTTTAGATTTTTATAATAATTTATTGATTATAAAATTTGTTACAAAAGTTCTAAAAAATTATTAAATATCTTCTGAATTAATTTTAATATTAATTAATGAAATTATTATCATAGATCCTGTTGTAAAAGTTACATTGTCTAGTTCAAACCTACAACGAACTGTTTCTTACTGGAAAGATATTTTAAGCATGAAAGTTTATGAACAAAATGACAATAATGTTACTTTTGGCTATGATGATAATCAAGCAAAATTGGAATTCAAGAATATTGGTAATTTTTTTTTAATTTTTAATATAATAAAGAAATTCCTAAGAACGTAGAATAATTTTTCAAGTTTATAAAAAATTTAATTTAATAGGAACTAAAGTAGATCATGGAAAGGCATATGGTAGGATTGCATTTTCAGTTCCTTATGACAGTCAACCTGGAATACAAAAAAAAATTCGCGAGAACGGTCATAAAATTTTGACAGATTTAATTACTCTAGACACTCCTGGAAAAGCTTCCGTGCGAGTTATTATTCTTGCCGACCCCGTAAGTATCAAGAAAATTTTTTAATTAGCAATTTCAATTTAAAAATTTTATATTATTAATTAATTTTTAGGATGAACACGAAATTTGTTTTGTCGATGACGAAGGATTCAGGAAACTTTCGGTTCCTGACTATCCAAGCGAAGCTATTTTGGACAGATTTATCGCTAAAGAGTCAACATAAAATAATTATTGTTATACTTTTTATGACGTTTATATTTTGTTACTGGTTTTGGGATTTACTAAAAATATTAATTATAAAAAAAAGTGCTTTATATTTTATTTAAGAAATAAAATAATTGAAATTTTAAATATAACAGTTTATAAATTATTGAATTAGCTTTTATTCTATTTCACATGAGTATTGAATATTTTATAAACGTCCATTTTAATTTAAAACGTCAATAATTAATCCGTTATACTAGAAATTATGAAATACAGTTTATCAGAATCTAAAACTTTAAAATTAATTATTAAATCAATTACAATATGCAAGTATAAATTTAAAATTTATTAATTAATATCAATAAAGAATAATACTTTTTTTATTAAAAAAGTATTTACTAAAACATTTAATTTTGTCTTTTTTATTAAAGCTTCTTAAAATTTTCCAAGTAATTTAACTATGCTAAAAATTTTTTTGTATTAAATTTTAAATTCTTAATTACTCTAAATATTATAAATATTTCCACTCACTGTTACATACATAATTGTTATAATTTATTTTTATAGAGATAAGAGTTTCCGCGTAGGTGTTAAATACGTTCTAAAAAAATGACTAAAGAAATGGAAGATAATTAACGGAAGTGTGATAAAAATACATCCATAATTATCGAAGATAATATAAACAATAAAATGATAAGTTTAAAAAATATCAAGAATTTTATAATCATCTACTCAGATTCACTAGAATTTTAATTACAAGAAAGAATTAATTGTTATTTATTTTTTTATAGTCTATTACCCAATAGAATATCTAAAACAATCAATGTCTAATTGCTTTATAAATTGTAACATTAAATATTGTAATAATAATAATTGTCGCAATATCATTTGAATTAAATCAATTGTAACAAAATTTAAAATTTTTCATTAAGTTTTATATGATTCATCAATCCCACATGTAATGCATAATTGTCGCAATATCATTTAAATTAAATTAATGATATACAGTAACATTGTCATGCTAGACTATTATTGTCATCAGATGTATTTGATAAATTGTCATAAGTTATATAAAATTGTCATTCATATTGGTAAGTCTTTTTATACATATTTATATATTATAAATAATTAAAATATAAAAAATTACTTTATTAATTATGATACTTAAATTTACAGATATTTAAAAATTTTTGAAATTTTTATAACAATTTAGGTAATTATTATAAAAAAAAATATTTAAAAAAATTTTTAAAAATTTCCACATATGGAATTTTTTAAATAATTATTTAATTGTCATCAAAATTTTTGGAATTTTTATAAAAGATCAATTATAAAAAAATATTTTTAATAATTCATGTTTAAAATTTTTTTTAATATAATTTTTCATAAAAATTTTTGGAATTTTTATAACAGATCAATTATCATAAAAAATTATTTTTAAGAAATTCACTTATAATTTTTAAAAATTTCTTCATGTGATTTTTTTCCATTATAATTTTATAATATTAAAAACTAAAAAAATTTTTATTCGTCTGTTAAATTGAGTACTATAATAAAAATAATAATGAATTAAATTATTTAACAAAAATAGCAAAGTAATAACCAAGTAATGGAAACAGTCGAGTATGAAACAAGCGTGCGTCTGCCAATATCTCAAAAAATCTTTGACTTGATGATAGAAAGCTTCTCCAAAGACCACCAAGACAAGTCGCTGATCCTGCATTACAATGACACGATCTTCCCCAACTCTGACAGCAACGCCTATCCAAGTTACCGTTTGGCAGGTAATACATTCCAACTAAAACAATGTATCCACCGCTTAAATTTGCTTAAAGTAATCGTCTGCAAAAACAAGGAAGAAAAAACTCCCAACAAAGAAGACAACAATACCAAGGTAATGTTCATTCCATTTACCCGGACAACTGCCAAAGAAACAATCGCAGAAGCTTCTGATAAATTCAGCACAATCCAGGACCTGATAATCCGCTACACACTATATAAGCGAAACAATATCCGCGTCTGCGTAGAAAAAATATCCCAGCTTCAAGGCGGCGCTTATTACTTCTCTGCAGAAATAGAGTACGACCGTGACTACACAAAAATAAACTACGAAGAATTTACAAAAATGGAAAGTACATTTTGGGAATTATTATCTAGCACTTACCTGTATAAATTTTATCACTTGCTGGATACAAATGCGATGTACAATTATGTAGAATTGTCTCAGCTGTTGAACATACCTTGCCGGAAATTTTCTCCAATTCACGAGTACTCTTGTAATTTAATTGATTATAAATTAAAGTACAAATTTGACGGGTACAAAGGAAGGATGATAAATAATAATTTAAAAAAAAACACTATTATTTTTTGGGATGACATGCACAACACTGGAGAAATTTCTTCTGGATTTTTAAATGAATTTCCGCATGTCATTTTTCAGTACGAAGTTATTCCTGACAAGCGGTGGATTATTTTCACTGACATAATTGGTGTAATTTTCCACAAACAATTGTACATGCCGGAGCCAAATGACGTTTTGGAATTCTTTTCTTCATTTCCAAAGCGCGAAATTAATCACCCGCTTCTAGACGATTCTCTTAACTGCCGGTCGTTTAATTTTGTAATTCCCGACGGCCATGTTAGCGACCAGGTGGCGCTGAGCGACGAATTTCAAATTGGTGTTCAGTTCGTTATTCAAGATGGCGACGATTTTGATTACTTCTCCGCGAGTTTTATTGACCAGACGGATGGATTTATTATTGTGTGCAATAATCGGGAGTATAAGTATAAAATTCCGACGCTGGATGTGAGAATTAAAAGTGAAATGGCTTATTTGGATGAAAGTTTGACGCCGATTTTTGAAAAGAAGCTCAGTGCGTCGTTTTTGCTGAATCCGCAGTCGATTTATGAAATCACTTTGAGGAAAGGACAAGTTCTTATTCTTCGGGAAAGATTTGAGAGACAGTTTACTTCTAATTTGGATGAGTTTGAAGCTTTTAAACGTGAGTTGGAATTTATGTCACAGCAATTACGATCTCTTCAACAGTAATTTTTATTATTATAAAGAAGATAAAAAATAATAAAATATTTTTAAAAAATTAAGGGGATTATTTCTTCATGACATTTAAGTTTTAACTGTTAGTTAAATGTTTTTTAATTTTTTTTTCAACAAACAAATTTGTTCTAAATAATTATTTTTAAAAATTATAAAAAAAATTGACATTTAAAAGTTCAAAAAAAATTAAAATGCAATTTTTTTAAAATCATTTTTTGGAAGAAATTTATTTGTTAAAAAAACTATAAAATAATCAAGTGACTGCTAACTTCAATGTCGTTAAAAAATTGCCTTTTTTTTTATTTTTAAATTTCTACTTATCAATTTTTTTTTGCCATAATTTATTAAAAAGAAAATATTAAATATCTACTAAATTTATTTTCATAAGTTAGCTGTCAATTAATGTTTTTTTAATTTTTTTAAAAAACAAATTTGTTCTAAAAAATTGCATTTTTTTATTTTTGAAATTTCTACTTGTCAATTTTTTTTGCTATAATTTGTTTGTTATAAAATTATTAAATATATGCTAAATTAATTTTTATTATTTCTTCTTTAAAGCAGTAAAAAATATAAGATACTTTTTTTAAACATATAAATTGTAAAATTTTTATTAGTCAATTTTTTTATAATTTAACAAATATTAGTTTAGTACAAGATTTATATTTCAGAGCAAAAACAGCAAAAAGTTCATAAAAATACATTATTTCTTCTTCATAGCCTCAAAAGTTTAGAGTAAAAATTGAAGACAAATTTTTATGTACACAAATTTTTATGTATAAAAAATATAAGTATTGTTAAATTAATAATATTTGTTCGCGCTCTTTCAAATCATCATTAATATTAAAACTAGTGAATGGAAGTAATTTCGTTCGTTAATTTGTTATACTTAATACTTGCGACTTCAAAAAATACCTATATAATACATTATAGATCAATATCAATATACAAATGATTGTAAAATATTCAATCATAAATTTGATACTTAAATCAGCAGACTGACAATTTTTCATTTCTTCTTACATATAATTATTCTTAAAAAAATTGCGCTTAGTTTGTCAAAATTTCTTAATATAAAATTGTTTTTTTTTTTTTAATAATTTATTTGCTAAAAAAAATCATTTAAATTGTGTATTTTAATTTTATAATAATAAATTTAGTTGTCAATTTTTTTAATTTTTACAAAAAAAAAAATGCTTTTAAAAATTTCCACTAATAATTTTTTTTAATTTTTACACGTGGAATTTTTTTCGACTTAGTTTGTTTAAAAAAAAAAAAAAAAATTAAAGAATTGTCGTGTCTGTAAATTTTAATATAATTTAATTTAAAATACCTTAACAAAAACAAACATGCAAATAGTAACAATAATAACGCTGCACTTGCTTATAGACATTGTTTCAGCATTGTTAGTTCGGTAAGTGACTGAGTTCTGTGGTTGACCATAGTAATTACCACTAGGTGGCTGAGCAGGATACTGCCCAGGAACTTGCTGAGGATACTGACCAGGGACTTGCGGAGGAACTCCTGAATTAGGTGGAGCCTGACCAGGATCTCCTGGAGCTGGACCAGTTCCATTTCCGTAGTAATTGTTGTAAACAATTTCAGTGTGGGTCACACCAGGAGCAGCAGGGGCTGCTGCTGGTGCTGGTGCAGCGGCGTATCCTGGATGATTGTTGCCGTAAATTCCTCCAGGAATGACGCGGTTAACGGCGGCGTTGACTCCGGCTCCAACTATGGCTCCAACTGCAGCTTCCTTGGCAAGAGTTCCGAGTCCTCGTTTCTCGGACTCTACGATGATTGTCTGAGGAGGAGCTTGGGCAGGTGGGTGGTTGTACCCGGTGTTTGGAGGAGGATGGTACCCAGTGTTAGGTGGTGGATGGTACCCAGTGTTGGGTGGTGGATGGTATCCACCACTTGGGTTGTAACTTTGACTAGGGTTGTAGTGAGTTGCTGTATGAGCTGGCGGAACGTTCCATCCTGTTGATTTTAAATTAGTATTATTTATTTTAAATTGTCTTTCTAATTGTAAGTACTTGATTTTTTATGATTATTCTTTATTTTAAAAATAGATCATCGTCTATATATTATTAAGAATTAAATATTCGAAAATGCCCTATCTCTAGATACATAATTAAGAAATGACCTTGTATCTCGTGAACTATTGACATTTTTTAAGATATAAGCTCATCCTGATGTTATACTCATCAAGATCTTTCATTTGAATACCCACATCAATTTTTCATATATTTTATATATTTATATATATTACATATATGTATATATCAAAAATGCATGTCAAAAATGCATGTGGGTACTCAAATGAAAGCTCTTGATGAGTGTAACACCGGGATGAGCTTATATCTTTAAAAACGTCAATATTTAA